CCAGGCACCGGAAGCCGCGCGCGGGCCAAGTTGGGGGCGGGAGCCGGGGGCGGGGGCGGGGGCCGAGCCGGGGCCGCGGGTACCTTGATGATCCTGCGGGGCAGGCCGGCCATCTTGTCTGATCGGGATTCAGGCGCCGCTGGGTCTCAGCTCCGCTCGGGGGCTCGCGCACAACCGGAATTCGCCCGCGACCCGCTTCCGGTAACGTCACCGCCCCCTCACCCACCCCCCGCGCAGCACGCCGGGCAATGTAGTGCGGAAAGGAGGTGTAATATGGCGGGGCGGGGCCCGCGGCCTCGGACTTAAAGGCTGTGACGTGCAGCTGGGGGGACTGGGAGGAGGAACGTGGAGAGCCACGTGCACTACTGTCAGGCTCGCGCTGCCCTTGCGGTACAGTCACGGTGACGCGTGGGAAGGGGCGTGGCCCCGGGGAGGGGGGTCCTCGCGCCGCTGGCGCAGCCAATAAGCGTAGAGCTGAGGGGGGGCGAGAGCGTGAGCCTGCTGCCGCCGCCGCTGCCAACGCCCTTCGTGAGCTGGAGAGATGGGGCCTGGTCTCCGCCGCCACCCCGGAAGCGCTGAGCCGGGGCCTTCGGCCCCTTTGTTTCAGCAGGGCACCCCGGGTGCTGGGCGGTGTTGAGCACTGCCTGAGCTTCCTTATCCCCATTTCGCAGACGGGGCGCGGAGGCCGGGGCGCCATCTGCCGCCCACACAAGAAGAGAAAGGCATGTGGGTCCCGCTGCCCCAGTACTGTGGACTCCTGCTGCTCCCGCCCGTGCTTGTCTTTAGAGAAGTGGCTAGCTGTGGTAGTCTAAAGTCAGCTATAAGGTGCCTTTATACATGAATTAAAGAAGATACGCATATAAACAGCAAGCAAGAACCCAAGTTCACTCCATCCGATGCCGGCTGGAAGGGCTTAGTCAGGGACCGCCCTGCTTGAGCAAGGAGCTGGACCAGATCAGGGTTTCTCAGCCTCTTCCAGGCTAAGACACATTTACATGAATAAAATGTCTCCCTTGCATTCCCTATCACACTATTTATGATCTCACTGTAGCCCATTGCCAAAGAAAATTCAGCGACACCCCTGTTCATTTGTGATGGCATGCCATTGTGTCGCGGCCACCAGTTGGGAAACACTGGACTAGGTGATCTCTTGAGGTCCTTTCCAGCTCTACTTTCCCATGAAGGGTTGGACAAGGGCAGCAGCATTTCTAGTCGGGTAGCTGCTGAGTGAGGCACTTGGCTGTGGCTCATTAGAATCCACCTGTTTCCTTCTCAACCCGGCAGGTGTTAACAACCCACTCTCCTTTTTAATGATCTTAATGTTCAGCTACTGTAAGCTATTCTTTCTGTTGCAGTTCTGCTTTGAGCTCTCCTGCTAACCCTGCTCCTGTTTTACAGTCCTCCACAGTCTGTGTAACTCTGACTACAGACATTAGTTCAGCCCTGCATGGGAGGCACTGCCAAGAGGCTCAACAGCAGTGGCCTTAGAGTTGTTGGGGCCCTGGGCAAGAGAGTCATTTGGGGCCCCTTAGAGGTATGTACTCAGGTAAATATTAACCCACCACAGTTGTCTTGTGGATCTTGTTAATGTTTTGGGGAGAATTAGATTAGTAGTTGAGTGTTTAAAATGCAAGTAGAGCCACTTCCTTGCAAAAACTCCCCCCCACAAAAAAATAATTGGCCCCCCTAAAGTGTGGGGGCCTGAGCGGTTGCCCAGTCTGCCCTCCCCTAAGGTTACTACTGGGTTCAAGAAGGTGAGATTTTGTTGGATGAATCTGAAAAAAATCTAATAACTACGGGACCTTGATTACATACTGAAGATGCAGGCAAAGTGGTGCATTTAAGCCATCATCACTTAAAAAGAAACCTATTTTGCCTCCCTGTAAGGTAATGTTATATGTGTTCCTATTAGGGGTGCACCAATAAAATTTTTTTTGACTGATACTGATGGCCAATTTATTAACCAGCCATATTGGCCGATACCCATCTGATTGCCGATATGCAGCCTGCGGGGGGAAGCTTGTGCAGGGGAATGAGCATGGGGGAGGGAAGGGGCTTGAGAGCAGGGGGGAAGATCAGGGCCCCCACAGTGAGGGATAGAGTAGGGCTGGGGCTCATCCAGGGGGTGGGGAAGTAGCTTCTGCCACTGTGTGCGCCCTAGGAGGGGCATGTGCCCCCAGATTTGTGTCCAGGGCAAGGGTGGGCTTCCTGCTGTAGGCTCAGAGCTGGGGTATGTGCCAGCCTCTTCCTGGCAGGGGGGCTGGGCCAGGGTTGCGCTTGGGGTGGGTGGGGGCAGGGTAGGCAGCTACAGCAAATTTTGGGGTGGCTGTAGTCCCCACTCCCAGCGCTGCTGCCCATCCTGCCCCCGCCAGCACCAAGCACTTCCCAGCAGGGGCACTAGGCTGGGGCTGAGACTAGCGCAGCCCCCAGCCCCAAGCAGGCAGCCTCCCCTCTAACCCCACACAAATCTGGGGGGCACATGCCTCCCCTGGGGGTATACGCACTGGCGGGAGCTCCCCCCTCCCCAAATTAGCCCCCATGGCTCCATCCCATGCCTTGCCCTTCCCCAGCCCCACTCCTTACCTCAGTGAGGGAGTGTCAGTGCCTTCCCCCACTCCCCTTCTCCCCAACAGACTTACTGACCAGATACTGCTCTCCATACTGCCAGGCTGCACTTCTGCCACATGCATACTGTGGCTGCACACATGCATGGGGGGCATTTATCAATAACATTATCAGCCAAAAAAAGGCCAATTGCCGATAATGTCAATTTTCCTTTTATCGGTGCTGATACAATATGGACCGGTATATCAGTGCACCTCTAATTCCTATTGGAGTTATGCAGCTCTGACTTCAAGTAGCATGTCTACCTGGATTGCTTGTTGCTATCCCTTTGCTTTATCTGTGCTGGGTTAGGGTGTTATGCCTTGTGTTGTGTTGGGGTTTATGGAGTTTTACTAAGATGTTAGATCATAGATTCATATTGGATGGTTTGGATAGGGATGATCTTGCCTCAGGCAGAGGTTTAGACTATATCAGTGGTTCCCAATCTGATACGTGAACCACCAGTGGTACACGGACAACCGGTCAGTGGTACACATTTAACAGATGTATTATAATTGCTTTATATGACAAAAATTTGCTGGTGGTACTTAAGGTGGTACGCAGTCTGTCAGAGTTTGGAAACCATTGGGCTGGATGACCTGTGGGGTACAGACAGAAGTGCAGCTCCCAGCTGTAACTCAGAATGCTTTCTGCAAAGTTCAGTGTTGGGTTCAGGGGGAGGGAAATCTAGCTGTGGGCTGGGAGCCTGCAGCCAGGTTCCCATAGCAATGGCCACAGCTCTCTGCCAGTGCTCCCACTTTTCAGAATAGGAGGGGGGAAAAGGCAATGGGGGGAGCTCTTTCTTGGGGCTCCCTAGCTGGTTTGAAGGATGGGATGGGTGAAATGGAGTCCCCCCACCACCTCGGAGTTCCAGTGCACCTGCTCCATTCTCCAGGGAGGGCCAAAAAAACCCCAGACTGAACTGCCTCAGCTCCCTTTTTCCCCCCCTCCCATTCTGAAAACAGCAACAGGCTGGGTGCTCACAGACACAAGTTACAGAACACACTACATTTTGAAATGTCTTCATCTGATGCCTCATGCAATGAGGGGGTCAGATTTTCACGAGAGCAGCCACTTTTGAAGCTATCTGCAGCTGCATGAACGATGCATGTCCCCGGAGGCTGGGGCTGACACGGCGACTGCCCACAGGCGGCAGGGGCATGGTGGTGGTGAGTGGGGAGCTCCTGCAGGTGGCCACAGCGGTGTTGTGAGTCGGAGTGAGGGTGGCAAGCACCAACCAGTGGTCAGTGACCACCTGCAGACGCTGCCAGCAGCATTGGCGATGGCCAGCAGCGATCAGTGACCACCCGCAGACAATGTTCCCCCTTTTGGTGCAGCATGGAATACTTACCAAAGGAGTGAGGAGCTTACCTCACCCAGGGCAGGCAGTCGGGTCTGGGGGCTGTGGAGCTTGGGTGGGCTCCGCCACCTCTAGGGAACTGCTCCACTCCCCCACATCACCTCAAGGAGCTAGGAGGCACATGGCATTGGGGCTGAGGAGTGGAGCAGTTCCCTGTAGCCAGCAGAACCCATGGAGCAGTTCCCCAGAGCTGGTGGAGCCTCACTTGGGGCAGGCAGCAGCTCCTCCCCAAAGTGAGGCAAGACGGATGGAGGCTGGGCCCAGTGGCTGGCGCGGGTTCCACAGGCTCCGCTGGCTCCGGGGAAGTGCTCCACTCCCCAGGCCTAACAGCATGTGCCTCCTCCCTCCCCAAGGCAATGCAGGGGAGCAGAGCAGTTCCCCAGAGCTGGCTGAGCCCGTGCCAGGCCCCCACCTCCACCTCGCCTCAGGGAGGAGCTTACCTTCAGTAAGTGTCCCATGCCGCAGCCCAGCTCCTGCTGCACAGCCAGACTTTTACTCGTGCGCAGCCGCACATGTGCGCACCATAGAGGGAACCTTGCCCACAGCTGCTCCCTTTCCATGATTCAGTGACTAGGGGAGCAATGTGTTTGGATGATTTTTTGCCTGTGGTTTTTTTTTTTTAATATGTAAGATGTGATAGAGCAAATTTATATTAATCTGAATAATGTAGCTGTAGGCCACTAGCTTATTTGTAACGCTTTTAGTTTCATTTTGTAACATGATAAAAGTATGCATTTGTTACACCCAAGATGTCTCTGGGGGCTTTTATGTTATCCACAGATGTACAAGAGAAGCCAAAGCAAGTTCCTTCAAACTAAACAGCAGTTTTATTGGGATGTTATCCATCAGGCAGTATTAACAAGAGCAGCTCAAAACAACAGAGAATACACAAACATACAACCTGGTGGCAAGGTCTCAGGGCCCTCAGAATCTGTCCTCAGCGTTTGAGGCAAGTTCCAGACTCCCATACCTCTGCCTTTCTGTATGGGATTTTATACAGTTTGGGTTCAGATTTCTCTATTCCTGCCCATAAGCAGCTCTTGGTTAATTCAGTAGAAAGTAGGGAAACTGAGTCTGTGCCCTTGACCATTGTTCTTTCCTAGGGTATCTTATTAGCATTGGATGTGAACAGTGGTCTGTGTGCATCTCCACTCCCTTGAAACAGTCCCTCACAATCCCCTTCTCGCACATACTAATCATTGTGATTTAGGCTGAACTGCTTCTAGACCAAAGTATCTGGGAGGAGGAATGTAGTGATACACCCAGCACAGCAAAACGTGGTGAGGAATGTTTAGGATTCCCCAGCACATTGTGTTTATATGTGATGATGCACCAGATCATCTCAACCCCCTTTTCAAAATCTTAGACCTGCCAGTGTGGAAAGGG